AGGATTTGAGTTTTAATTCACTGCAATGGTCAAAATTCTTTATCTGTGAGGAGCAGAAGCTGTCTTTAACTAGAGTAGGCTACAAAGGGTCAATTTGTTATAAGGGTGTGGGTATTTCATGAAACCCAAGGGCAGAAGGACAGCTGGGTCTAGAGAGAGAGAATGAGAAAGCACATGAGAGGGGGGAGGGTCAGAGGGAGAAGCAGACCCCCCGCTGAGCAAGGAGCCCGATATGGGACTCGATCCCAGGACTCCAGGATCATGACCTGAGCCGAAGGCAGTCGCTTAACCAACTGAGCCACCCAGGCGCCCCACCCTGGTAGTTTCATTCTGTTTCATTCCTCTCTTTGCCAGAGCAGTGTTCTCTGCATCTCCAGTCCATGGGTGAATGTAGCCACTTCACAGTTACAGCCCTGGGGTTCTGCACAATTAACTAGCAGTCTTTCAATTCCAAAGTTAAATTACCAGGAGAATCTGGCATCTGACTGCCTCAGCTTGGTGCAGGGGCCCAGCCCTGATCCATCCAGCAGTGGTCAGGGGAGCTGGGAAACATGATAGTGTATACAAAGCCCTATCACCATAAAAGGCTTGGAAGTTCCCTGAGAATGAGGAATTGCTGTGATCTGGACAAATATTTCTAAAGAGGTCTTAGTCTAAGGTCTTCCCTTAGACTCTAAGGGAAGAGTCTTTTTTGGTACAGGATGCCAGGAAGTCATCTAATACATGTCGATGGCTGGAATCTTTTCCAATAAACATTCGGTCTACCTATCCCAAAACAAGCCAAAACTTTCGTTTCATGGCCCTCAGGGGGTTCTGTTCTACACATCATTTCCTGTGTCTTTACACTATTCGATATTTTGAGATGGGGATCCAGTGTTTAACAGCTGAATTATATAAAGCTCACGATCATCACTCTGGCTCTGTTTTCTACCACATGGCACACTCACCCAACTCTGCAGGTAGGCAAGTTTCCCTCAGATGCCACGCTTTCTCATGTAAGTCTTTGCTCCCACATTTTTTCTCTCGTTTGCCTCACTCTCTCATCCCTGAAAAGTAACACTACCACCCCCTCATCTAGGAAGCCCTGTCCCGCTCCCCATCAGCAAGCCAAGGGCGGTGTCCTTGCCTGCGCTCCCCTAACTCCATACGTGGCGCTCGCTACGCAGGACAGACTCATTTTCTGGTTGGTTTGTTTCTTCAAGAGGCATTTCACATTTCAGCCTTTCACAGTGCCTCAAAAGGGCCTGCCACATCGTAGGCCTTCAAGAAAAACAAGTGAATAAAATGAGCCTCAATTCTTTAAAGTCTGGTTTTGTATTTTCTTGCTTCTATTGTCCACGGTTCTAGTGTGGAAGCTAAAATACAGGTTCTGATGCCAGACTTTCTGGGTTCATCTCCCATCTCTGTTTAGTTTCTTAGTTGTGTACACTTGAGCAAGTCTACCTCACCTCTCTGTGCCTCCATTTCCTCATCTGTAGATGACATAATAATGAATGGTACCTATCTCAGAGGGTCGTTGCGGGGGTTCCATGAGTTGAGTGCTTAAAGTCTGACACAGAGAAACTACTCCACAAAGGTTAGTTATTACCATTATCAACCATCTAAATCACCACCAAGAAACTTCTGTAGACTTAAGTGTGTTTCATGAGCAACATGAAAGCCAACTCTTTAGGAATGGTTAGTGTTTTCACCCACCATTGACCCTTCAGAAAGAGGTTCTCGTGGTCTCTGTCTAGTACTGCTTCCATTGTGTGCTCTAAGAGATAAGCAACCTAAGAGTATCTAGGGACTGAGATGTGGGTTAGAAGTTCTACCAGTGGATGCTTTCTGCAGCGAGAGAGTGTGCTTATCATATTGTGATTGGATTTGCTTTTTTTAAAAAAATTTTTTAAAGATTTTATTTATTTGATAGAATGAGACACAGCGAGAGAGGAAACACAAGCAGGGGGAGTGGGAGAGGGAGAAGCAGGCTTCCTGCAGAGCAGGGAGCCCAATGCGGGGCTTGATCCCAGGACCCTGGGATCATGACCTGAGCCGAAGGCAGACGCTTAACCGACTGAGCCTCCCAGGTCCCCTGGATTTGCTTTTGATGAATGAGTGAGCTTTTTTGGAAACAGGTACAGACTTGGTGGAGTGATCGGATGTGTGATGTCCTGGGGTCTTAGCATTCTCAGCCTTGAGGGTTTGTGGGTGGCAAGTTTGGTGGCCAGAAACTATCCTTTTAAGAGCACACGGCTGACAGGAATTTTTGCAGAAACTGACAGGCTGCTTCTAAAATTTATATGGAAATGTAAAAGACTTAGAATAGCCAAAACATTTTTTGTTTTTTAAAGAATAGGGGCTTTCATTTCCCAATTTCAAAACTTATTATTAAGCTATAGTTAGGGCATTGTGATACTAATATAAGGACGGACATGAAGATCAATAGAAAGAATCGACAGTCCAGAAATAGATCTTCATGTTCAACTGATTTTTTGACAAAGGTGCCAAGGCAATTAACCCAGGATAGCCTTTCTAACAAATGATGCTGGGACAACTGGATATCCACATGGAAAATGATGAATTTAGATGCTTACCTCATACCATATATAAAAATGAGCTCAGAATGATCATGGACTTAAATGTAAGAGCTGAAATAAAACCTGTAGAGGAAAAAATAGGAGAAAAATCTTTAAGACTTCAGGTTAGTCAAAGATTACTTAGATATATAAACAAAAGCACAGTCTATAAAAGAAAAAACTGAAATCGGACCTCATCCACAGTAAACATTTTTTGTACTTCAAAATACAGCATGAAGAAAATGGAAAGACAAATGGCAGACCAAGAAAAGATATTTGCAGAACATAATCAGAAAAAAGGATCGAAAACATATATGCTTCAGTAATAAGACAAAAATCTTTTAAAAAATGGTTAAAATACTTGAATAGAAATTTCACCAAAAAAGACATAAAAATGGCTAATAAGCACATGGAAAGGTGGTCGGTGTCATTAGTCATCAGGGTAATGCAAATTAAAACCACAATGAGATACCATTTCATACCCACTAGAATGGTTATACTAAAATAGATGGCAAGCCAGACACAGGAGAGTATATATTGTAAGATTCCATTTATATGAAGTGTCCAGAAAAGACAAATCTATAGAGACAGAAAGTAGATTAATGGTTGCCTGGGACTGGGAGTGGGGATGGGAGATGGGGATTAACAGTGAATAAAAGGGATCTTTTGGGGGTGATGGATCCATTCTATCTGTGCTTTAGCATAAGCACATAATAACCACCATTATTGCACAATTTGGTAAATTTACTGAAAATCATTGTCCACTTGAAATGGATGAACTATACAATATACAAAATATCCCTCAGTAAAGTCAGAGGAGGCAAAGCGGAGGATGTGGTGGGGAGGAAAGAGAGAGAGAGACACAAAGAGAGACAGGTGAGAACAGCTGTAGCCAGGCTGTTTGGATCTGACATCTGGCAAGTCTAACCTCTTTGCCTCAGTTTCCTGTTAGTGAAATTAGGAAAAATGAGTTACTAATCACAAAGCAGTGTTGGGAGGATTGTGATAATACATGAAGCGTGCTTAACAGCATTTGGGCCATAGAGCTCGATAAAATATTAGCCATAACAATAATAGTTATTATTGGTAGTAGTATTTAATCTACCAAGGATCCGGCTCTGATTTAGATAACTTAATTCAAACCTTGAAGAAGGATCGGACTGCAGCTTGCAGATGGCAGTGACCAGTCCTGTGGATGTGACTTTTGGGGAATCTGAGAGCCCACAGCACAGGACTTGTCAGTTGTGTGCAGGCTGGGAGATTGGAGCACTGGAGCCTTGCAGATGAAAGCTGTTTCTTCATGGCAGTGTTGTTTACAGAGGTGTCACCTGCTGCCCATAAATGTGGGAGCAACATGTGCTATTTTAACCCCAGTCCAACTACCCTTTAGGTTATACCCCACTATGTGCCAGGTCCTACCGGGGTAGAGGCCAGGTGATTTGGAGGCGTGGAGGAGGGACACCTTGTCGCTGAGGGTTACTAGAGGAAGAGATGTCTTGATGAGACTTAAGAATCCCCTGACACTTCCCAGATGAAGGGTGTGGAGTGTTACCTGGGCAGAGGGTACGGCTTGAGCAAACCCTGGAGGCTATATGGGGCTCGATGAATTCGGTGAAGGGCTAATAGGAAGAGCAGAGTGACAAGAAACAAGGCTGGGGTCCCATGGAGGGCCTTGTGAGCCACGATAAATAATAAAGAACTTGGATTTCTCCTGCGGACAGTGAGGACCCATGAAGAGGTCTAAGCACGTACCAGGACCGGCTCAGATGCCTTCAGTTAGGCGGTCCCAATGGCACCTCCACACCTCACCTTGAGAGATCCTGCTCTGTTGATGGGGAGCAAACGAATGCCTTCCTAGATACTTGCAGTCAGCCTCCTGGAGGGCAAGTGTTCCTCCAAGGACCACATCCACACTAGTGTCTGGCTGAGAAACTGTTTAATGGCTCCCACGAGGGGCATATGAGGTGTAATGGGGTGGCTGAGAGCCCGTCTGTAAGGCTAGACCTCAGAGAAGCAGAGGACTTATGAATGCTTCATTCACTTCACCCTGAGTGTCTGCTCTGGCTGACAGCCCATTAATAAGCCCCAGTGGCTGAGGGGCAGGCTGAGGGGCAGGTATTGTGTTGGTTACTATAGCATCACCTTGGAAAGGATCACTCAGTGAGAGCCACGGGCTGGGCTGAGCGAGGCAGGAGAGGGATGTGGTCAGAAGAAGCAGGAGGGGCTGGAGAGAGGCTGCAGATGCTGTTGCTGGTCTCAGGACACCTCGTGGGCTGGAGCCCACTTCAGCTTCTCCAGCTGCAGCCCCGGGTGGGGAGCGAGGCTGCGTTCTGCCTGAGAGTGGCTGCCTGAGACAGTGCCACAGGCTGCTGCTGAGCTCTAGCTTTCAAGGGACTGCACTCCCAGCCAGACACTGCTTGGCCTCTTTTTTTTTGGCGGGGGGGGGACCTTGGGGTATTTCATCTTGGAAGCTCTGGGCTGGGTTTCATCTCCTTTTTGATGTTAAGTAGTTACCTCCATGAGAACTGACTTCAGGGTACTCATCGAGGAGGAGAGCAGAGTGGTCCCCACGCTGGAAATGAGAAAGGATGACAGTTTCTGAGACTTAACTGTTAGTGCTTGGAGGTCCCCCTCACCCATTCAAAATGCCTTTGAAAGCATTTGATACCTTCAAAGAAAAAATTCTGAAACCTGGAAAGGAAGGAGTGAAGAACGCCGTGGGAGATTCACTGGGGATTTTACGAAGGTAAAGTCTGAACGCAAACTTTAGGTTTATTTCTGAGTAATTTCACATTGCCAGTGTTTGAAAGACTTTGCTTCATATTTTAAAAGTCACATTTTTAAAAAGGAATGGGTAGGTCTGATTAGACGGCTTCTAGAGCCCCTTCCAGCTCCAATACACTGTGTCTGGAGGGAAAAAAAAAAAAAAGATGCCTCAAAAGTGTAAGATTGAATTAAGAAAATAACAAGACAGACATTCTGCTTATATGGCAGAGATGGTGATGTTGCATATTGTGTGTTTGGCATTGAATTAGAAAAGATCTAGGGAGATAATATTTCCTGTTAATTCAATAATAATGACAAAATCAGGAACCTCATTACATGGTTATGCTTTCAGTTGAAGTAATTTTTAAGAAATTTTCACTATAAATGAAAATTAGATATGCGTTTAGCTTGTTATATAAACTATATAGGGTCGTTGCTGATTGTATGGGTTTGAAAGAAAAGAAGAGTTACACAATAGTTTGAAGAAAGTATCTTTAATAACTAGTATTTAGGTAAAAAAAAAAAACTTACATGGTTACAGTGGGAAAATATTATGTACTATCATTAAAGTGAATGTTTTTGTCCAAACCAAAAAATAAATATTTTTTAAAGTAAAATACATTATTATTGGAAGGAGAGTTTGCCACAAATGAATGAATTGATGTGACATTTTAATTTGTGATTTTTTAAATAGACATAGCCTTTCTAGGTTTTATAGATGAATTAATAAGCAGTCCTTATGTACAAGGTAAGATGACTTCTTTAAACCCTCAGATATAAATAAATGTGAAAAATACTCCTGATAAGATTTTTATATGTTTGAATGACTATTTCTAATCCTCATGAATGAAAATGCCATCTGGCATCTCCTTTTAACTTTTATATGGTATCCCTTAAATTAAAAAAAAACTTTAGCATGCAAAGGACTATTTGTAGGCGCACAGAGATTCACTCCATTCCTTGGGTTTTATAACACAGGGGCTCCTGTCAGTGTTAAATTTCCCCTGTATCACTCTTGATGAACTTTCATAGTAAGAGAACTGGGTTCAGCCCTTCCTTTAATTTAAAAGTTAAAAACAAAAAGGTTTCAATTAGACCCACGCTGAATTATCTGTATAGATAAAAACCTAGCTGACAGCAGGATAAACCAGCCAAACATAGGAAGTGATTATAATGACCTTTTCTTTGAAGAATGTTCTAGCCTTGTGTTGCGTACTCCCCAGGTAAAGTCCATCTTACTGTGGTGGTGTTCATTTGATTAAAAACGAAAAAGGAAGGCACAATGGCTTGGTTGTCATATTCAAGTATGGGGACAAAGGAATCTGACAAAGCCAGGAACAAAAACCATGACTTTGGACTATAGTCAATTACAGTCCCCATTATAATCATCAAACTCTGTACCTTAGTTTATACAATATTTGACAAGGAAGCACTTAGGAATTTTCTTTCCAACATTAAGTTGAATTGCTTTTTTTGGAATTAAATCACTTTCTTTGGTAAGAGACTTATTCTAAGAGCTGGTTTTACAGTGTTTGATTAGATGATCTACTTGAAGATTCTTTTGTTTGCCACACTGGTTTGCTTAGGAATATAACAAAATTCATAATTTCCAAGTTGTACGACCTCAACCCGAAACGGAGCTATGTGTTTAGGACTCTGGATGGTTTCTTTGGAAGTGAATCACAGCACAATAGACAAACGGCTAACAGGGCTTGAGATGCAGAATGCACTAAATGCATGCTAGATGTTATCACTGTTGGCTTAATAGTAGGATGACTTGAGAAAAAAATAGAGCCAAACTCGAACCCCTTCTTTCTGTGATCCTAGAAGGAAATTATTGGCAGAGGAAGGCAAAAAAAGGGCATTAATTGACTAGCAATCCAAGTTGACCCTAAGCTCTGACAGTCTTTGAGCAAAGCTCCAGAATTAGGGTTCCTCCAGGGAGACCAACTCTGACACACACTTGGTGTTCACCTTGTCTGTAAGATATTTATATATAAAGTGCCTTGCCCAGAGCTTGGTATATGATGAACATTCCCTCCCCTTGCTGATTTTTTTCACCTAAAACCAGTTAGCAGAGTCCAATGGAAAAAAAAAATCAGAAGAAAACTGAAACCATCATCTAAATGGAATTCTTGGGGTGCTTTTTAAAAAAAAGATTTTATTTATTTATTTGAGAGAGAGAGAGCACACACATGCACTGGGGGGAGAGGAGCAGAGGGGGAGAGAGAGGGAGAGAGAATTTCAATCAGACTCCGCGCTGACCGCTCGATACTCGATCTCACCACCCTGAGATCATGACCTGAGCGGAAACCAACAGTTGGATGCTTAACCGACTGAGCCACCCAGGCTCCCCTCTTGGGGTGCTTTTTAATTACTGAGAGTTCCTCACGATCAGGGGAGTGGCAAATGCATAGGGAAGCATTTGAAGTTCACACATGGGGCTGATTACAGTCAGGCATTGTTAGCCTTTCTGGAGAAGAGTCATTGATAAAAAGCAGCTGAAAAATTTCATCAGCTAAAAGTACAATAATATTTCAGAAGTGTGGAAGAAAGAATATATTCACTTATAGTCCAGTATTAGAACAGATGCCGTAGAAGGCATTAAGTTTGGAAGTTGATATCTAGAAATTGACATGTAGATTTATTCAATTTACATGACAATATGGGTGTATTCTAATTGCTTATGTATAATAAAATAATAATGGCAGACATTATCTGTTCCAAGCCCTGTAAACACATTTAATTCCATTAAACCCTATGGGGTGGGGATTATTGCAGTTAACCATTTTAGATGAGAAAGCTGAGGCACAGAGAGGTTAAGTAAGTTACCCAAGGTCACATAGCTTATAAGTGGCAGAGCTGGGTTTCAGACCAGATGTTCTCTGCCCATCATTCTTAGTCATTACACTCTGTGACCTCTCTGTCTTTGCTCTTCCCGCTTACTGTGTTGAAACTTAATGACTCATTTAGGTTTAGGGAGTTACTTGGGCTGCAATGTAGCCAGCAACCTCTGGATCTTATGGCAAGTATGGGCTTTTCTCCTAATCAGTTGTAGTATTGAAGACTTCCCTAGGGAAACAGAAGGGGTGCCTGGTCTCCTTATAAGTGTTTATATCTTCCCTTTAAAGAGATGGAACCAATCCTTTTGTGTTGTGTCCATCCTCAGCATGCAGTGACCGTGTATTCAACTTACGTACCAGACATGCACTGTCTACTCCATTGCCAAATGTCAGTGTGTGAGAGCGGGCTCTGACGTCAGGTGAGCCCGGGTTCTAATGGCTGTGCCATCATTTACTTTCTCCCCGCACAACTTCAGGCAACTTGGCTTCCGACTGGCCAGGGTAGTTCTAGTAAAGCAAAGTCAGGTCGCATCTCTCCCTTGCTCAAAACCTCCCCGTGGTTTCCCACCTCTCTCAGAATTAAAGCCCGCATCCTTTCAATGGCCTTTAAGGCCCTACTTGATCTGTGGGAACTTGAGAACTCTGACTTCATCTCTGGCCTTCTTTTCCTGCCTCACCCGACTCCAGCCACACTCTGCACTCTTACGGAAACTCCCCAGACCCACTCCCATGCCAGCTTTTGCATCCTGTTTTTCACCCTGAAATTTTTTCTCTCTAATTGCCTGATGGCTTATTCTCCCATTTTCAAGTCTCTTCTCAAAGGTTACCTTCCCAGGGAGGACTTTCCTGACCATCCTATTTAAGGAGAAAGTCCTCCTTCCCTCCTCCTCTTACCTACTCCCTATCTCTCTTCCCTGCTTCATTTTACTCCACTTCTATCTTAGCTAGGGTTTCCTAAAAGTGGACCCTGAGACAGGGACTTGGAGAGCCTATGCTGTGATTTATGGAGTTGGAAATTGGGAGGCAGGGAGTAAAGCAGGATAGGAAAGGAGAAAACCAAGCAAGGATGTGATCTCAGGTAATACACAGGGGCCAGATCACAGTGGGAGGATCTCGAGCATAATTGGCACTGAGCTGTCCCTTTAAGCAAAGGGGCCAGTCTTTTGTGTCTCTGCATCAGTCAGTCATGGGCTGTGGGCTGCCCCTGCTGAAGATCAGGACCAATTCAGGACCAATCAGCCTTGCCACTATGGTGACCCCTGGCCTTGCCTTTTGGTCTTGGCATGAGGACCCCAACCTGACTGGGCAGCAGTGATAGCTATATTTAATGGGATTTTCATTGTATTCCCACGTGGAAGAATTCTTCCTTGGGCATCAGGACTCCTAGACCCACAGAGTCTAAAGTTGAAGAGATGAGATATTCTGTAAGTGAGTTACTGGGCATGATGGTAAGTGGGCTACTCCCACTTCCACCCTGTGTTTCTCAGACCAATATGTTCTGCCTGTTGGGGACCCAGCATCGTTATAATAACTGTTGGTTTATGGAACATACTGCATCCTGAAGGACAGCACCCTATCTTCACAGGGATTCCTCTCTGAGCTGATGCCTCAGCTGCATCTCTAAGAGGCTTCCTTTGCATCAGCTTCTGCCCGGTGCGGCTTGCTGTAAGACCAGTGGATCCCATTGTCCTGTGCTGCCTGCCATACCTCCTTTGCCGTAAATTGTGTGTCTTGGTCTTAGGTGATGTAATGTGGGATCCCATGTTGGCTAATCAGGATTCTGTGAATCCTCAGGTAGTGATGCAGGCCAAGCCTTGCAGGCTCATATATGGAATATATGTCAGTCCCAGTCAGGATGAACTGCTACCCTTTCCAAGATGGAAGGGGTCTGATATGAACAATTTGCCACCAACAGGCTGGTCTTGGTGAGTGGATCCTAGATATACCTTCCATCTCTGTTGCCATGGCTACCCGACGTGCCACTCATCGTTCTGGAGGCCAGAAGTCCAAAATCAAGGTGTCAGCAGGACCACGCTCTCTGTGAAGCCTCTGAAGAAGGGTTTATCTTTGCCTCTTCCTCCCTTCTGGTGGATGCGGGTAACCCTGGGCATTCCTTGGCCTGTAGACACGTACATCA